TTAGGTTTGCTTCTTGCCTCGGACCCCCCTGTCAGGATCCATGTTGATTGGTGGGAGGTCAACCGCATTTCCGGGCCATAAATCACAAAAAGAACAAACATAATTATGGGTTGCAACACCCGAGGTAGCGAAACCCTGCAAAAGCCAAGCGAATCAGAGGAATCAAAGCGAATCAGAGGTTTGGAGGACCTCATGGGCTACTGGCGAGCCTGGGCTTTGGGCCGGCACTTCCGGTTCCTGCGACTCGGCGGAAAAAAATGTCGTTCTCTCGGTTCGATCGGTGGGGTTCTGGGGGTACAGCCTAAATATCAAGTCTTAGGGTTTAGGGTTTAGTTGGCGTTGTCAGTTCTTGCAAGAGTTTTGGAGGTATGGAGGTCACAGCTTTTGAGAACGGGATTTCGAGCATGGAAAGCATGAAAGCGGCGCAATCTCGAGGGTTTCCCACCTTGAGGAATCATAGGTGTTGTCTCTATCCATGTAGTACAGATATCAACGGAGATACAGAGGTCGAGATAGAGATAAGCCTCCCACCAATTAACATGGAACCTGACACAGGGTCCCTTTAAAAGGAACATTGTCTTCCAGGACCCCCCTGACTCCATGTTAATTGGTAGGAGGGTAACACACCGAATATACGTATGCATATGTGCACGTGTCATATGTCAATGATGGATGTTTATCAAACCAGGTTCTATTGAACATGAACCCGGGAAGCACGTGTTTGTTGTAGCTGCCCGTGAAAATGTTTAAAGGTGGGAATACTTTGAAGTTTGAGCCGTACCCATTGATCAATGCCAGACTTTTGCATAACGTTTCCCTTTTCAATGTGGGTTCCCTTCAATCCCCCGTTTCGCCAGCAAACATTTATTCTTTGCAGGGAGTCTGTGTGATGTCAAGGTGTTTGTTCATGAGTTGTTTCCCCTTTTCCTGGTCTAAATTTGTTGGTTGCTTTGGTTGTTTCATGAGTTGTTGCCCCTTTTCCTGGTCTAAATCCGGTTGTTTGCCGTGCTTTGTGTTTTTTGGCCACTCCCCAAAATTCGCGCACTCAGTGCTCAGAGACTCCCCCAGACCCAAACTCTCCAAAGCTCGCGCGTTCAGTCAGAGACTCCCCCAGATTCGTCCAAGGCTTCTGCCGGACGCCCTGCCGAACCGGGTCTTCAACGGCACGGTGCGCGTGGGGTTCGCTTCGCTTCGCTTCGCTTCGGCGGAAGCTGCTCATCGGTGGCTTCCGGCATTTGGCTGTTGTCAAAGCCGTTTCGGATCGGATCCCATTTTCTTACCTCTGAAAAACACTACTTTTCAACTTTTTGGGGTAACATGGGCTATATGTCTGTAAAAGATTAACTTCCCCAGGGCTTGGAGTTTTAAGGGGTAAGTTTTTGTTGGTAGGTGAATTCACTACCCAGTTTAGAAGTGTAGAACCGGTTTTAGTGGGGATTGGGATGTTCACTGGGGGTACGATTTGGCTTTTGACCCATGGCCATTTGTTTACTTTAGGTGTTGCGTCCCAACAAAAATATTGCAACACCAGCCACTTCTTCCGATTCACAACTTGGTATGGTTTGAACATGCTGCGTCCCATGCAGCTTCCCCTCCGATTCCAAGATTGCACCGACTTTTGCGTTTGGGTGTATGGTTCCTTTTGAGTCAAAAGCTCCTGGGTCCACTCCTCCCTCGAGGAACTGGACTTGAGCACTTTTGGGGAAGACCAGTTTGGTCAATCTCAGGAAAGTAGCTCAAGTGAGCAAGCAAAGTTGTTTGCTCAGGTCACGAGTTCTCCTTGTTCAGTACCTTGTTTGATCAACGTCTTAAACAGCTTCCTTCACCAGGCAACTGACTGCCATGCTCGTTGCGTCCCAAGCCTAGGGGTTTATAGGGTTTCCGGCATCACCCCAACCCCACCTCACTCCACGTGCGAGAAACAAGAACTAGTTCCAACCAAACACGTTTGCCCCACAACAGTCATGTTGCGTTTGTTCCGGAAATCCTGTTGACGCTTTCACAACTCCGGGTTTGACCACCCTTGGGGTTGTGCACTCATTTCCTGTGATCAGGAAAACAACTCTGCCTTGGTGATGTTGTATCAACTATATTCGGGGGCGGGGGGGGGGTTATCAAGCATCTTCTTGACCCCTTTCAGAGCGCCAAACGCGTGGCAACAAAGGCTTCCAAAGGTGCCTGACAGCAATGACTGACGTAAACATAGAAACTGACAGTCCTTTGACGGACGCCATTTTGTGGTTGCTTGAACATACAACAGTGTTTTGCAGTACGAGCTCACTTTCCCGCCACGTTGCACTTACGTTCTGGGGAGATTCTGGTGGGAAACTCAAAGTGACTGCTTGGATTTTGAGTGACTGTTTGCACCAACCTCACGTGCCGTGCCGTGACAGAGCACCTCCGAATCCTCCAGACTACCAAATACCCAAAGGATTCACTTTTGGAAGCAGCTCACGCAAGGCATACTTGAACGCCCATGCGGGCTCTTGGAGGGACAAACAAAAACCTCTGGAGTTGATAGAGAGAGCAAGAAGCTGATCTGGACGAAGACGGCTGCGTCTATCAGCCAGGCTCAAAGCATTTTCTGGCAGGTTCCGAACCTGATTTCTGCCTTGCTGGAAATGGGCATGTGTCAGAATTAGGAATCCACAGTGCCGAACGTCATGTCGAATCTCTCTTTTACGCCATCTCTTTCTAACCCCCCGGCCCCCCAACAGGGTACCCAGCTCTCAATTGGCCAACTGAAGCCCATTCAAAGTCGCCTTATAAAAAAAAAAGAAAGTCGGGCGCACTTTGGGTGGGGTCCATTCCCATTAAACCCTTACAAGGTGGTTCGAATGAAGCTCAATCGTTCCTCGATAAACCTTACGGGGGTTCAACTGGACCTTTCGTGGGTGGACGAACACCATTCCACACCCCTTTGAAATTATTTTTTGTTGGCAATTACAGGTGAATCGAATCATGCAGAAAATCGTCCATCCACAGTATGAGTCAATTGTCGCGTTTCTCGCTTCCTCGTTCAGCCAGCCCGCCAGGAGAGCGCGCGGATCGAGGACTTCTGCTACAACCAGGGCAAAGATCAGCCCTTGCCGCTTAGAGAAAAAGACAATCATGCGGGTGCGAGTGTTTTTTGAGGCTACCCTTTTTGAGCTTGATGTATGGGGGATCCGATCCCATTGTCTAACCTTTTTCCGGGCGCTCCTTTCACGTTTTGAAGGATCATCTAAACAACAAGTCCATGGATCAAATTGTTCACATTTTGAGTAGAAATAGCGGGCTTCCAAGAATGGTGGTTTAGGGGTACACCACCGGTTGTGTACTACGTTCTCAAACACACCTGACATGGATCCGCCCCCTCTTTTCCTTCCCCCAATTTGAGTGCCTCCCACAAGCCTGGAGAGCTGACCCTCCGATCCACAAAAACATAAATTGATTCCTTTGATTTAAGGAAGGGGTTTGGTTTCCCGTGCAGGTTTGTGGAAGGGGCAAGAACGTGAAGTGGGAGAGCAACCAGTTGAGCTGTCTTAAAACGAGGCACTCCTTTTCTCACTTGAGCGGATTGGCCAATAGACAATCCAAGCTTTTTTGCCACTAGTGGTTTTCCCAAGCTGTGGAACAGGGGCTCCTCCATTTGCCCTTGGTGGGACCTTCACAAGCGGCACTTTCATTGGAACCCGCCAGGAAATTGATCAACTTTTGAGGTGGACATCCAGTACTTGTGGTAAAGTTCGGGACCTCGCAAACCCACGGTTGGGTGTAACTAGGTGCAGGGTGTTTATGGCCATGAAACGTTTCGACCACGTGTAAACATACAACTTTTTGGTTTAGACCCCCCCACATGACATAGTGGGGGTTGCTCTTGGTTTTCCTTCCACACCCGTTTCCAGTAGGAAACTAGGAACACGGCTCATATTCCGCCGTGAGTCAAAACAGGATTTCGCCGGCACAAGTCAAGAATGGCACGTGGTTTCCTGTGAGAAAACCCAATGAACCGAAGCCCTAAGTGATTTCCGTGCCTTTCACACGTCCCCCCCAAGCAGGGCTACTGTTTTCGTTGGTTTTTCCAAATGAAAACAAGGGTTTCGTTCCTCGAGAACTACTTTCAATCCGGCACGATGCACTGCTTTTTCCCAATCAAACAACGACAGCGTTCCTTGTCAGAGGAGAGGTTCTGGCAACAAACAACTTGCTAAGGCTTTGAGGACCCGCGTCTGCCGCCAGTTCCACTCGAAAGCCTGGCATGGATACAGTGCTGATCGGGCACGCGTGAGCGGGTGTTCCTACCATTTGGCAGGCATGCATACAGTGCTGAGTGGTGCGCGCGCGCGGGTGTTCTTACCATTTGGCCGGCATGGATACAGTGCTGAGCGGGTGCGCGTGAGCGGGTGTTCTGACCATTTGGCAGGCATGGATACAGTGCTGAGCGGGTGCACGCGAGCAGGTGTTCTTACCATTTGGCAGGGATGGACAAAGTGGTGAGAGGGTGCGCGTGAGCGGGTGTTCGTCAAAATTTGCATGGATACAGTGCTGAGCGGGTGAGGGTGAACGGGTGTTCTTAGGATTTGGCAGGGGTGGACGTGCTGAGCGGGCTGGCATGGGTGCAGTGCTGAGCGGGCGCGCGTGAGCGGAGTGTGCTAACCATTTGGCTGGCATGGGTGCAGTGCTGAGCGGGCGCGCGTGAGCGGGTGTGCTTACCATCTGGCTGGCATGGGCGCAGTGCTGAGCGGGCGCGCGTGAGCGGAGTGTGCTTACCACCTGGCTGGCATGGGTGCAGCGCTGAGCGGGTGCGCGAACCATGAAAACGTCAGAAGCTTGCTTGCTTTCTTGCTTGCTTTCTTTCTTGCTTGTTTGTGTTATATATCTATCTGCCTATTTATCTGTGGGCAAACGACCTCGAGAGTGACACCAAATCGGGGTTCCCTTGCCACCCTTTGAGTTTGTCCTATTTATGAGCCTCCAAAATGCCTTTGGTTTCCTTTGAAACAGCCTACACATGGCCAAGCCACACGAAACTTGTCGAGCATGTCAACCAACATTATGATGTGTGCCATGTTTGAAATATGAGTTGACAGGGATGGTGATCAATCTTTTTAAAGTAATTTAGACAACAACCCGAAGGGTTGCTCTTATGAGAGCTACCACCATATGAGTTTGACCATGACGCGTATGAACAAGGGAATCATCCTTTGTGGCTGTGGCGCTTTTCTGCGGCAATCAAAATGACTCTCCGTCCCTTCTCTAGCCACTGGAAATTTGAATCCTCTAATCAATGGGCCCTTTTGTATATAGTTGACATTTCGTCTAGCTCTAGCAAAGGGTGGGTATCACCTAGGTAAAGTAGCACGTCTTGTCGGAGTTGGTACCCTTTTCAGGGTGGCCCGCAGTCCGGGAGTGCTGCAGTGCAGGTATAATTTCAGGAGAGAATCACATCCATCAGATTTGGCGAATGTTCCTTATTGGCCACCGCCTCAAAAGGTGGCAAAGGTCATGAATAGTTGACACACTCTCACACTCTCATCAACAAGCCGAAAATCATAGGCTCTCTTCCCCCCGCCCCAAAAGAAACAAACAAACAAAAGAAGACACGAGAGCTCGAATTCCCAAGCGTTCCTCCCGCCAATCACGGCACCCCGGAGGCCACTGTTGTCGGTTTCGGTCCGCTCGAGGGGCGCCCCAGAGCCGGCGAGTCACCTGCTGAGCTTGTTGCAGCTCCACTCCGACGCGCCGCTCTGGTGCTGCCTCTACCTGCGCCACGTCTGGCTGCAGGACGCCCGCGGGTTTGGTCTTCCTTGGTGCATGTTGCCAAGGGATCTTAAATATAAAACCCATTAGTTGGCAAAAAGTTACAGTCCCAACATTGTTGGGACTTTAACTTTTTGCCAACGAATTTTGGTTTTCCGTATTAAACCACTAAAAGTTAAACTTGTAGCAGGAGCAGAGCAACCGAGTCTTGGTTTGCGCCTGCGATTTTCGAAGATCGCGCGCGGCGGGGTGGTGCGATCCAAGTCCCGGTACAACCATGGCTTATATAGACCAGGAGCTGTTTAAACAGCCTTCTGTGGGATTCTGTGTGAGCCAAGGGCTGGTTGTTTAAACAGACGCTGCCCAAGTTGCCCGAGACTAAGGGGCGAGAAGAAGAACAATACATTTGTCAGGTTGTCAAAAGTGTATACGTATGGGGCTACAAGAAGTTGTGTGTGACACAAAAGTGGCTTGGAGGCATCCATTCCCCCTCTTGCACGTTTATTGGCATGCGTCATCCTTTGCAGAGTTCTAAATTGGGGGGGGGGCAGCTGCAAAGAGCTTGGGAAGCAAAGAAAAGCAGGCTTGTGGGAACAAGGGGTTTATTGTGATACCTTCGGAATCTCCCCCGTTAAATTTTTAATGCGGGGTTAGGCGGTGGGACGCCCTTTTTGTTGTATCATAGAAGTGGATTTGATTCCTGAAGAAAAGTGACGACAACTTTTGTTCCCTTGAAGGCCAAGTGGCTTGGAAAACGGGTAGTGCCCCTCCCCTTTTCCCCTTACTCTTCAGCAGATTGACATGAGACCCAAAAACCGATCCTCTTTGGAGGAATCTCCTTTTGGTGGACCCCGGACCCCATGCACCTGTACTGCCTAAATGAACCAAGCTAGCTACATCTACGACTGTTGCCTCAACAAATTAAAAATTATTTAGAATATACTTGGACAACAAGGCTTGTTCCCCCTCCAAAAGGAAGCTCCCCACGGGATTCGTCGACCGTCTCCCCTTTCCCTGGCCTGCAACCTGCTTCAAACGCGCCCAGCCGCCCATCGCGCGGGCGCAGGACCCTGCGGTGGATCACAAGATCGACTTCAGCGCTCGGGGCTCGGGACGTGCCCAACGAAGCCCGGTGAAGCAAGGGAACCCATAGAGGGGGTGTGTCCTTTTGGGGTGCAGAAGGAGAGATCTGGGTGGGTTCAGAGCTTTAGTGGGACCCCTAAAAGAGAGATCTGCCAAAAAGGGTGCTGGTTTGGCGACGGCGGCGGTTTTTGTAGGTGATTTGTTGTTTTTGTTGGACAAAGGGAAACCGCACATGGGGATCCTTGACACATACCCATCGGGGCTTCCGAGAGAACTTGGAACTGAGATTGAGTCTTGGCAATACTGAATTATAATTCCAAGTCCAAGTCCAACCAGGCACCCAAGAAGGCTCTAAAATGACTGTTGGCTTTGTCCCGGCAAACTTTTCACATTGAAGAGGTCTAACACTATCCTTCAAGGAATGAGGTTGCCAAACCTGCAAAAAAAACAAAGAACTTGTCAGTTTGTTGCAACCGAAAACCCGCCGCGTTGGCGCCAGGTGAAGCACTTCATCTTCGTGGCGGTGCTGCCGCTGCACACGCAGATGCCAGCGCTGCAGGCTTGGGGTGCAGCTGGAGCACCTCTGCTGAGTTGGGTGGGGTGCCAAGGTGTTGGGTGTTTAGCTAGTTTTAGTGTTTTGTGGTGTTTAGTGGTTGTGTTTGCGTGTGTGTGTGTGTGTGGTGTTGGGTTTGTGTTTAGTGTCTTGTGTTTTGTGGTTTGCTTCTTTTTTTTTTGGGGGGGGGGTGTTTGGTGTTGTATGGTTGTCTTTGTTGTTCCCCACACGACGACAGGTTTGGGGCTGCTAGATACATAGTGATATGCGACCGCCCACCGTCCGACCACCCGCTATCCGACAGACACTGCTACTTTCGACAGACAGCTGCGACAGGGCCCGCGAGAGAGATCAACTAAACGAATCTCAAAGTCGGCCGCGCCTCTGCAGCCTCAATACTGGATGTTTGGTTTCCCCCTCAAGATTTGGCCTTGCTCCTGTCAGAAAACCTAGCCCCAACAGAATATCCCGCCAAGCTGTGGTCTTTTGATTTCTCTTCCTTGACGTTGCTTCAAAATGTTGCGCGAGCCGTGTAGAGCCGAAGAAATCAATGCTTTCAATCATCCAGTTTTTGAGCGTCACGTCAAAGGGTAGGGGGTCCCCGATCACAGTGAACGGAGTGACAGAGAGAGAGAGAGAGAGAGAGAGAGAGAGGTAGAGTTCTTCCGTTTGTTTCAATTTCTGGCCCCCGCTCGTCCGGATTTTACTAATATAGTCTTCCAGACTCAGATACTTTCAAAGTGGGCTTCATTTGCCACAAGGTGAAGGCTGCGTTGAAAAGAAGTGCGGTTCGCTATGGCAGGACCCTCAAAGCCAAAGCCGTCCAACAGGTCGACTATTTCAAGACCACACCCATTTGAGCAAGACCTCCCCGGAATACAGAAAGTAGATACTCCAACTGTTGCCCAGGAAAGCCGTGACCTTGCCCTTTGGGTCAAAGTAGACAACAAACCCTGGCCGGCCCGGTTTTGCCAACGAGGGTTGCACAGAAACGGCAGAGACCGTTCCCGAAGACCCCCGAAATGGGTTCGAGTCTGTCGGTTTTCACAAAGAAACAACCGAAGGCGTGTGAATCGGGTCTGGGCCCACCCAGCAAACTTGGTTGTGGTTTGAGCAGCCTTTTTTGTGCTCTCTTTTGGAGGGGGCCAAATCGGGTTTGGTTGTGTACGCATGTTTCGCCCAAGCCTCTAAGGGTAGCTTCCCCATGCTTTTCAGGGATCCGTCTTTCTAGAACACCACCAAAAAATCCTGGGAAAACAGCTGGTTTTTGAAAAGAACGATGGTTGAAAAGAATGGAAAAGACCCCCTTAAAAGCCTGGTTCGAAACTCAGTTGAGTGGAGCAACACTTTGCTCAAACTGTTTACCACCATGGTCTTCGCAGTCTTCCCCCCCCAAAAAAGAAGCTTAGACTTCTTTGCCTCCGCGGCTCGGACATGAATTTCCCATGTGGCCACGGGTCAAAATCCAAATCGTACCCCCAGTGAACATCCCAATCCAACCACTAAAATAGGTTCCAAAATGGGTGGTGAATTCACCGACCCCAAAATGGGATCCCATGGGTTTTGACGACCACAGCCACGTGAGTTCCTTTCGCAGGACCTGCTGCAGGACGCCCTGGAGACCAATCTGCAGCTCACCGCGCGTCTGCGACAGCTGCTGCTGGAAAAGCGCCTCGGAGTGGAATCGGAGCCTCCAAAATGGGGGGAGGGCGGGGGAGGGGGGGAAGGAGAATGGGTGGATGGGGGGGGAGATGGTGGGGGGGCAGGTTGGTTGTTTGCTTGCGTGCTTGTTTGTTTGTTCGTTTGCTTGCTTGCTTGAGTCAAGGAGTCCTGACCGGCAACTTGCAGATTCGTTTAAAGCATCCCGGTGAGTGCAAATCTGAAACGGGAAGGAACAGCCCAAGGAGGGCGAAGGTTCAGTCCCCATCTCCCCGAATCTGCTTGGAGCCCTAGACTCCTAGAGGATGCCCCAAGGCTGCCCCAACCCGAACCCACGTTCATCGTTTTCGTTGCATCGAAGTTTGCACGCGGCGAGCGTGCAGCTCGCCTCGAGTCGAGTTCCACGCCTTCGTGTGGCTCCGTCAAGTGGCATCAAACTTTCGCTCAGCGAACCCAAGTTGCTCTGCCCAAAGCGAATGCTTTCAACCTTTTGGGAGGTTTCTTGTCAAGGTTCCGCAAGGGTACCGTTGCCTTTTATTTCTAGGTCCTTGGCCCAGAGCCGGGCAACCCTACTGTGGATAGACGAAGCCCTGCACCACCGTTCAGAAACCCTGCCGTGATTCGATTCTCCTGCAAATACCAACAAACCGTATGGTTTTAACCATGGTTTCAAACCTGGTGCGACCTGGATTTCCCAACCATCCACAATAGGGGGGGATGGGTAGTTGAGAGGTCGAGGGTTTCTCTGGGTTTTTAGGGTTCCCTAGATTTCCTTAGGGAGCCTTAGGGAATCCCCCCCCCCCCATTTAGGGAATCCCCCCTTGCATTCTTTGGCGAATCCGCGATGAGGACGCCTCCCAACGTGGCACTTACGGAGAAGCAAGCGGTGTCTATTCTGGACACCGTGATTCCGGCGCCTTGGCCATGTCGCAGTCCTATGTGCATTTGTGTGCAGTCCATTTGCTTGAGAATATAGCTTTTATTTGCCCCAGTTGGCGTAAGTGGAATCTATCACCACTGGAAATAGTAGTTTTTTGGGCGCAGGTGACTTAAGCAAATTGAGGTATATGTCTCCTGTGTGTCTTTTTGTCTAGCCTGTTTGTCCCTTTTTGTTCCCATGTTGTGTCTGTCATGTTGCTTTTGTCCCAAACCAAAAACACATGCTTGCTGTATTTATTGTTTTGTTCCTCTAAATTCCCTTGGTGTTGCTTATATGTCCCTTGTCTGCTCAGTGTATGCGCCCTGTGTCTTCCTCAATGTCCCTTCGTGTTCCTTGTATTAGTGTTTGCCATATTTTTCCAGATATTCCTTTAAAGTCCCCGTTTGTGTTCCTTAAACGTTCACTCTTTGTGCACTTACAGTTCCCTTGTTGCTCCTTTCGCTACCAGTGTCGCTTCTTTTATGTTATGTTTGTTTCAGATATGTTTGTTTCTCGTTCGCTAGTTGTCTCTTTGTGTCCTTCGTATTATCTGTGTTTATTGTGTCTGTCTTTGGGCCGTTTATCTTCCGCGTTGTTATCATGTACTGCAAATCATGTATGTTCCTCATACTTCTCTTCCGGTTCCTTATGTTCAACATTGTTCCGGATATGTCCGCGTTTCTGCTCCGTAGATTCCCTTTATCATTTGCGGCTGTTATGTGTTCCTGTATGTTCTTTATATTTCTTGATCTTCTCCGTTGTGTTTCATATATGAGCGGACGATGAAATTGTTAATCTAGGTATGCGTCGGGACCAAGATCGGTGCGGGGGGGGGAAGTGTTACTTGAATTGTAGATGATGGACCCTTAACCCACATTCTCACAGAGAATAGCTGCGCAGCCATGAAAGAGACATCAGAATCAGTCTCCGCACCTTGTCATTCTGACTGCTTGGGAATGTATCAGTATCCTTTCAGCCCTGTTTGCGCTACAGGGGGAGGGGTTCGGGGGGAGGGGGGAGATGGTACCGTTCTTGCCCATTGAAAACACATCTTATGAGTTCTGGACAATCATGGTGACTCTACTGAACGGCTCTGTTTGGTGATTGATTAAAAAGCTCGTCTTCTTGCCGCTTTTCACATGTTGGGACTAAGATCGGTGGATGTGGTCCATTTTCATTCCTTCCAAAAGACAAAATCACAATTGCTTGACTCAAATCACAACGGAATTGACCACATTCACCGATCTTGGTCCCGACGCATGGCATCTACTATTTTGCGTAGGACCCAACATATGTGAGTGTACGGTAGTAATACTGTCGGATATTGTTTGTGATATACTCTTCACGATCAATTTATATTCCGCTTTGCATTGCTTGATATGTCCCCCTGTATGTTCCTTATGTCATTTATGTTCCTGATATCTTATGTCATGTCACTAGCATGGTCTTATTACTTCTGACATGGTCTTTCGGTTGGTTAGTGTTCCTCGTTGTGCCCCTGACCTTCTACTATCCTTTCGTTCACTATAGGTTCCTTCTTGTGCTCGTTATATTCTCCTTTGCGTGGTTCTTTTATTTCCATGTCAGTTCCTCAGGTGTTCCTTTCTGCGTCTCCCCACAGCTTCCCTTTATACTCCTTGCATCTCCCCTCTCTATGCCTGATATATTTTCCTGATTCAATGTGCAAGCAGCCAGCATTATGAAAGCGCCCTGCGCAAGTTGAACAATGCATTCAAGCAGTGCCACAAGTTCCGGGCAAGCAGTGCCAGCCCTGCATTGCAGTCACTCGCAGGTAACGCAATTTGAGCAAGGGGCATTTAGAAAGACGCGGCTGAATGCTTTTCGAGTGGTGTTCCATGCATTTCCATGCAAGGGCAATTCTTTCTTGCATAGAACCTTGCGCGGTGATGTTGCGCGGCTGTGTTCTGTTTTTAAGCATCCATTGCCAGAGGCTGGTTTTGGGCCCAAACGAACTTCTAATCCAACTTTAATCCAAGCTTCATATTGTCGTCCTGCCTTTTATCGGCCGGGTCGCGGTTGTGGCACGTGACAATTTCTGTGATATTTGCTTGGGCCGTCCCTGCCTATGACTCACCGCTTTGTCGCTGTAACTGGGGTTCCCTCGAAGTCACAGAAACGTGACTAATCCGGCCCCTCAAGAATAAGCCCCCTACAAAACATTTTCGACTTGGGGCGGAACAATACTTGCTATTTGGGTATTAGGGGGTGAATCCCCTCTTGTCCAAATGGGGTTATTCCGCTTTCTATTTCCGAAAAAAAGATCCAAGTGGCAACTTCTGAATTTGTTTATTATTGGTTTCTTCCCGGTACAATATTTCTTCTAAGGCATGTTTGCATTTGGGATCTTCTGGAAACTGGTTTGGAATTTGTGTTGGCTAATTCTGTTTCGGATTGGCAGATGGGTCTGGGCAAGAACCTCAGGGGAACGGATGAATGGAGTAATTTGGGTGTCTCGTTGCGAGGGTACGCTTTATAGACTTACTTTGTCCAGGTTGGTCAACATCAATTCGTTCTCCTTTTGCCAGATCGGTTTTGGATGTTTTCCTGATAGTGAGTGCGTCGGATCCTGGATTAGGAAATTCGGGATCCCACATCTCGAGCAACCTAGCCTAATAGACTCGGCAGGGTCCCGAAACCAAAGACAACCGGCTGTCTTGCCCCTTTAGACGCCAGCTTCTCCAAAGGAAACTCGATTTAGGGACCAAAAGGTGATGTTTCCTTGGGACCAAGGCGATATCAAGGCGATTTCCCCACCAAAAAGCATCACCTAAGAGAAGAACTGATATAGACTACGTACATACATATTCATAATATAATTATATATATATATACATATGGAACCCTGGCTCCCAAACCAGACCTGATCCTTAGGCCTGGCTTTTGGAGAGCGGGCGAGGGGTGCCGAGCTGCCCCTGGGCAGAGGTTGGAAAAACCGGGGTTGAGGACACCATTTTTGGGGGGTTGCTTTTAAGGTTTTTGAAGGGAAACCTAAAAGAAACTCGACGATTTGTTTGCAAGTTTGGAGAGCTGGGACGCACCATTTCTGCCCAACTTCTTACGACCTCAGAAGGGGTGGGTTGCGAGCTGCCCAATGATGGCTCTGTATTTCGAGGTTGGAACAGAAAATCACCACTCACGGTGCCGCGACCATGGGCGTTTCGGAGATTCGATGTCCGAGGCCCAGGCTCCCCGAAGAGCCATCGGGGTGCGCCCCTTTTTTGGAGCCCCCTTTTGGTTGAAACCCGCGATTTTGAAGGGTCCCGGTCCCGAAAAAAGACACGCCTTTGGATCCGCTGTCGGCTACCACTTTTGAGGTCTTTGACTGTACAAGAGCGGGAAGCTGTCTGTTCATGGTTCCCAATGCTTTTTTTGCATTTCCCAGCATGTTCACAGGGAACCCAAACATACCATCATGTTTAGAGGAATCTCCTGGAGATCGGGACTCGCTGCAGGACATGTTGGCGGAGTCTGCTTGACCGTGGTCAAGCAGTCATGTCATGGGGATCATACCATTTCGGTATCACCGAAAGGGTGAACCGTGTTTCAGTTGCAAGACGACACAATCTTCAGGTTCATTGGCCTGAGTTAAGTCGCTCAAAAGGTGGACCTATTTTTAGTTCCTTTGGGCAGCTGCCAATGAGGCAAACCTTGCTGGAACAATCAAGCCTGCGTGGTGTCAAGAAATCCAAGGGGAGGTTGGGATAGGCGCACAGAGGATGCCCAGCCTAGTGCATAGGGGGGGGGCATTTGGAAGTCTATTGCGAGCACATCCTTAATAACGCCTGTGTGATAAGCTCAAGTCACACCCAATGCCCAGTCAGAGCTTAATATGTGGCGAATGAATGGGCTTTAGACAAGTGATTCCAGTTACTCTAGTGGGTAACCAGGCAACCATCAGGATCCCGAATGGTTCATTCCCAAAACTGTAGCTTCCCTACCTCTCGAACCAGCATGTCAGCGCTGGCGAAGCTAGTGCATAACCACGACAAACCAAACACAACAGCAATAGAGAGAAACTAACAGCAACAAGAACCGGCACACCCTCGACAGTGACCACGTGGTAGAAGAGCCGCCAAAATCACTCCCATTGGTTTCTTGCTTCACACCGCTAGCTAACAAAAATGAAGTCGTAGACCTTCACAACCTCAGTGACCCAAAACACTCCCGTGGAAAAAGAGCCGTCCAGCAAAGAATCCGTCCAGGGGGTAGGAAGCTGATTGGTTCCATCTGCATTTGGGTGTCCAGGTCTTTGCACTGTGGCTCACAAAATTCGATTGCCCGCACGCGCCACACACACAGAGCCATTGTCCATACCGTTCACACAAGGTGCTTTTCCTACCTCGGATGGTCTATGAGTCTATGAGGCATGCTTGTAACCTTTAGTTAGCTCTTTAATGCAGTCAGCTTTGACAGAAATACCTCGTACAAGGTTGACACACCTAAACCCGACATCAAGCTAAGGGCCCCTTTCTGACACGTGGCCTGCTGTGGCATATGTTGGGCGCATTTCTTGCTCTTTGGGTGAATGACTGTTGACGTCCAGCCTGCGTTAGTTTTATCCCTGGCCGCCTGAGCCCAAAGCAGGTTGAAGCAACGAGAAACACTCCAAACATCACCTAAAGCACCCAAAAGCCACCTCAACCACACCAGCCTCCTGGTTTCTGCTTGGCCATAGGCATGGTGGGCCACCACTTCGTGCCGCGACTCGGCCTGGCGGCTCTCCGGGACTTTCGTGGCCTCTGGCCCCGCATCGTCTGGCGCGGGAACTCGAGCCGGATCGTTCGTCGGAGAAGTGGCGGGCCAAATCGGCATCCAATTTGTAGGAAAGAAGGGGGCTGCCCGTAGGTTTCCTTGCTATCCCCAAAGGGCACCCTCAAAAAGCAATGGCAGCACTTTGTGTTTGTGTTTTTGAGCCCAAAAGGGAGTGGTTTTGAAGGGCAACCCAAGGCAGACCAAAGTTATTTTGGGGCCTTTTTTAGCAGTCCCATTTCGTTGTTTGTCTCACTCCCTTTTGAGGGTACCCTTTCAGGTTGTTTTGTCTTGGGAAGGAGCGAAAACCCTGTGGGGTCCCCCAGTTGAACACCCAAATCCGATGTTTTGTTTGTCTCACTCCATGTATAACCAGACGTCGCAAACTATGGCTGGTTAGGGATGTCTTGCTACTGGTTGCAAGAGCCTTTTAGTGGAAGCCACTTTAGCTGGGGTATACTGTACCCAGCAGAGCTGAAGCATCACGTCTTATGGGTCGGGTCAAGGCGTGCTTGGACCCAGGGTGCCATGACTCATAGGGGACTCCGCTGAAGGTTTAGGAGTATGGATTCAACCCTTCCTCTCTTGCAGCTGAGGGCTTCTCTTTGGATGTCCTTCCAAAAAAGGAACGCGACAGGTGCTGGTTTCAAAATGTTTCAGATGTGTGCGGGATGTCTGTCGCTTTCAAGGTCCAGCAGCACCACAAGGGCGCGGCTGCTTTGAATACTCGCGTTTTCTCCTTTTGTTGGGACGTGGTTCCTCGTTGATACTCCTGGCAGCCTGACCGCTCATCCAATTTGGGGGGCTCTTTCAGTGGAAACAGACCTGCACTTTGCCTTCAGCTGGAGCAAGCTTGTACCAACTCAGGGGAGCCCCAACAAACACGGCACGTGTGGTTGGGGCTTTCTTGGGGGTACCTCCTAGTTTCATCGGGAACGCACTAACTCAAGGACTTTTGGTCAAGCTTTCTGCCTGTGATTCAACCTGAAATCAAGCTACAGGATCCGATCTGTTGGGGTGTCAAACGCGCAGCTGGGGCACGCGTTTGGCCATGTAAGCTCCCATGGCAAATGTCCGTCTTTGGAGGGATCTTGGGAGCTTCCAGGTTGGGAAGGGTCGGTGTCACCTGGCTCAAGCCAACCAGTGGACCTCTGATTTTTGTCAAATCCCTCCATGTTCCGCTTCTCGGTGCTTTGTGGCCTGGCGGCCGCTCTTCGGGAGCGGCAATTTGCGGGCGAGCAGGATACAACTGCAGCGCAGGAGGTGCCGGAGAATCTGGTGGTGGCCGCTGATCAAATGTTTGAATGGTTCTCACCCCACCAGCCGCTGAAGCGGCCCCTTTTTGCCTTTGGTGACTTCCCAACTGAAAGACTAGTATAAGAATTGTGCAAAGAGCCAGACCCTGCTCGGTTCTTCATGTGAGGTTGTTAAACAAAAATCACCGGCTCGTTGAAACAAGGCTCGCTGCCATGGACCAGTTGCCCATTGAAAAGACTCGCGGGGTTCTCGTGGCAACTCGTTGCTTTCCCGCACTTTTGGCGCACCAAAATTCCCCGCGCGGCGATTTTGGTAGGCGGTCCACTTGCCTGGTACTGGAGGTCTCCACTTTGTTCGCGAGCTCACCGGTGAAAACAAGCTCGGGTGTGTGAATTATGTCAGCCAAGTTCCTGGGCTGTATAAACACTTGTGAAGACCATGTTAGTGGCAAAGAACCAGTTGTGTGTGTTTCTCTTTCACGGAGGTATGAGTGTAGGAAAGATCTGCAAAGAAGTCAACAGTTTTGCTCGCATATCTAAGTCGAAAAAGTGACCCCTCTCAATGTTGAATGTTCCCTCACCCGGGATGCAAAACAGTTAAACCTGTGAGACTCCGGTCCCATTTAAAGAAATGTGAATTGATATCAATGAACAACTGGCGACATGTCTGGTAGTCTATTGTGTCGTGAGTTTGGAGAGGATATGGGGGGCCCACCCAAATTTCCCCACAGAAACCTAGGAGCCCCTCGAGTTTGTTCATGTCCTCTCGGGCCAGCAAAAAGTCAATGATTTTATCCGGGGCTCATGTCATGTGTAAACATACGGTGCATGGACGGACTTCTGCGCCACCTATGAAGCCCTGGAATTATGATTTCCCTGTAAACTCAACAAACAATAGTTTTAACCATGGCGAGATTTCGTGCGCAATGGATTTCGTCCATCGACAGTATGTCATGCACAAGCGCTTTCCCCAGACTCAGGACCGCCTTGTGGACGTCTCCAGCTACTTCAACGGCGGCAAGGTGTGGCGCCAGAGAAGCAGAAGCTACAGGTGGGGATGAGCATCAACAAAAAACATGGGGATCAACACAAAATATTTAGGGGATCAAAAACAAATTATTGAGACCTAGTCTCCTGGTTTACTGGTTTCCTGGTCCAACCTAAACCAACCCTAAACCACCCGAAACCCAACCTACATTAACCCTACACAACCTTAAGCCAACCCTACAGGCATTTAACCGATGCTTTATTCGTTGATAGAACTGCGCTTGTATCTGAAAAGTTGTGATTTTCGAACTGGAGCTGGCAAAGTGACCTTCGCGTACTGCGCCTGTATTGGAAAGTGTCTATTTTTCAGCTGGAGCCGTAAAATGCGCGCGCTGTTGCCCGAAAATGATGTAAATTACAGCGTTTTGGCACCCCCAGGCGAGATAGTTTGTTTTTGATCCTGAAAATAATTTGTTTTTGATCCGGGTGTCGATAATTTCTTCTTGATCCCGTAAATATATGTTTTTATCCTCCACCCGCTACAGGTGCTGCAAGAGCCACGCCAACGAGCTGGGCGTGATCAAGTCTGAGCAGGACGGCGAGAGAACCAGCTGGATTGCGTATTGTGGGCTCACTACCCCCTGCTTTGCTGAGAAGGGTTCTGAGAATTTTGGTTTGGGGTCAGGGAGCCTGGGGGGGTTCCCCCAAAGCTCAATGGTCAAACTGGGCCCCTTAGAGGGTGATTTCCTGACCGCCGTGAGGCTGATGTGTGCGGATGCGAGAAAATTTCCGCGAGGGATTGCGACCTGACCCATATGTCGTTCTTCGGGAAATCCGCAACTCAAATTGGCCCAGGTTTTTTTCGCAACGACGTTTTCGCGAGTTTGCTGAAGGCACATCCTACGCACAAGTCTGCCGGTTTTCTGATTCCACTCGCGTGAGCCAAACGCGCGCACGATATCGACGGAGCAAAAGGCAGAGTTTTGGTGTGGGAAGGCTCCCAGAAGGCGCACTTCGGGCTCCAGGGGGTTGCCTTTCAGGGCTAACAGGCACCTATTTGAATTGCTTCAACGTCACCTTTTGGGCCTGGTTGCAAAGGCGTGTCCTTCAGGTGCTTTTGTTGAAGAAAAGTATGCAAGCATGTTGGCGGAACAGGAAGGAAGAAACGTGTTTTCCCCCAATTGGCTTGATTGTGCACCACCTAAGAAGCCCTGGCATGATATTCCCTATAAATACTAACAAACAATGGTTTCCCATGGCTCCAACCAAAGTGGCAGTATGGTCAAACAATTGCTCAATCCGGCCTGCGTGACCATTGGGATTCACGAATTTGTGTGCGCATCTGCAGGGGGAATTTCGGTGTTTCTCGGAGCAGAGTTCCACCTGCCAATTCGTAAATAACCCAAAACATACCCCAACCAATCATTTGGGGTAGCGCAGGTTTGAGTGGTGCCGGCGAGACCAACCTCATTTGAACAAAAATAAGCTCAGGCGATATCCCCAACAGCACCACACCCTCCCAGAATCCTCGCGGAACCCGCCCCGCAACCCACCTCAACGCCGGCCTTGCTCAGGATGCCGCCTTGTAACTTATAAAGCAAAGCTAAGAGTGACAGCGCAATCGCGCCCTGATCGGGGCCCGACGGCGCAATCGGGGCCCGACGGTGCAATCAGGGCCCGGCCCGACGGTGCAATCGGGCCCCGGCCCGGGCCCAATGGTCCCGTGGTGCAAGCGGGCTCCCACCACCCAGCCTTAGGATGCGGCCTTCAACTGTAGCAAAACAAGGCGATGCCAGCTTGGTACGGGGCCCGACGCCGCAATCGGGGCCCGATCACGCCCCGACGCTCCAATCGGCCCGGTGAACCTCAAGTTGCTGCGGGACCACTGTGCAGCAAAGTAAAAAAAATGCTTGGCAGTACTAAGTATTACTTTGGGGTAAGGTTCCAAACGCTACACAAACTTCCACCAGGTTCTGCAACAGCTATAAAACAGCCCTGCAAAGCCAACATTTCGGGCCGCGTTGTCTGAGCAAGTGAGCAAGTCAAAACAGTGAAAGTGTGCTGAAAACATTGATTCCCCAAACAGCGAAGCATTGGGGTTCAAACTTGAGGTGTAGAGAATGGGAAATTGTGACGCCGGTTCCGGGGTCCTGTTTTCCGCTTGTCTTCCTGTCTCCCCAGGCTCTCCGGTCAGATGCCAGATGCTGTTGACTCCAGGGTCGTGTCTCCCGCTTGTCTCCCTGTGTCTCTCGTGTTTTTTGCTTGTCTCCCTGTGTCTCCCAGTCTCTGCGGTCAGATGTCTCGGCTTCCTGTGTCTCGCAGTCTCTGCAATGCTGTGACGCCGGGGTCGGCTCCCGCTTGTCTCCCTGCCTCTACAGTCAGATGCGACGACGGCTCCGGGTCGTGTCTCCCCAGTCTCCCAGTCTCATCTCCCTGTGTCTCCCTGTGTCTCCCATCTCCCGCTTGTCTCCCTGTGTCTGGTCGGATGCCAGATGCTGTGACGCCGGCTCCGGGGTCGTGTCTCCCGCTTGTCCCTTTGTCTCATCCCAGTCTCGTCTCCCAGATGCTGTGACGCTGGCTCCGGGGCTTGTCTCCCTGTGTCTCGCGCGGCCAGATGCTGTTTCCCGCTTGTCTCCTTGTGTCTCCCGGTCTCTGCGGTCAGTGCCGGATGCTGTGGCGCCGGTCCTGGGCAAAACCAACTGAAGCTGCTTCTTAATTGGGGGCTGGCCTTGCTTGCTGCCAGCTGCTTACAGCCCTCAACAGGAAAAATGAACGTCCCGGGCACTTACCCAGTTTTGAGGCTGACTTGGCTTGCTTGGCATCCAGGAACCGGCGTTCGGCTCCCTTGTTCCTTCGGCTCCCTTCGGCTCCCTTCGGCTCCCTTCGGCTCCCTTCGGCTCTTCGCCTCCCTTCGCCTCCCTTCGCCTCCCTTCGGCTCCCTTCGGCTCCCTTCGGCTCCCTTCGGCTCCCTTCGGCTCCCTTCGGCTCCCTTCGGCTCCCTTCGGCTCACGTGGCAGCAGCGCGCAAGCGCAATTGAGAGCTGGGGAAAGGGCACGTCGCAAATTCTGCTGTTAGCCTGTGTGCAAAGGATGTGCAGCTCTTGGTCAAGCGTAGGTTTGCATCCTTGTGGAGCATCGTTGGAGCTAGAAGCAAGCAATGTCGAGCCTTAAATATGTCTATTCTTCTCGATAAACAAATCGTGACATCCGGCTGATTGCTCAAAAAACAGAGCTGCTTTTTAGAAGCCAGTGCCGCACTTCTTGGCCAAGTGCAGGTTTGCATCCTTGTGGCGCACCAGCAGGGCCCTGTCAAGCCTTAAATATGTCTATGTTTCTCGATAAAAACCATATACTGTGACATCCGGCTGATTGCTTTGCTCGGGACACTGAGCTGCTTTTTGGAAGCCAGTGCCGCACTTTTTGGTCAAGCGCAGGTTTGCATCCTTGTGGCGCATCAGCAGAGCCCTGTCGAGCCTTAAATATGTAGACTGTTTTCGATAGACAAATACCGTGACATCCGGCTGATACTGAGCTGCTTTGTGGAAGCCAGCGCCGCACTTTTTGCCAACTGCAGGTTTGCATCCTTGTGGCACCTCAGCAGAGCCCTGTCGAGCCTTGAATGTGCCTGTTTTCTTGTAAACAAGTATACTGGGACATTTGGCTGATTGCTTTGCTCAGGATACTGAGTTGCTTCTTGGAAGCCAGTGCCGCGCTTCTTGGCTGAGACTGATGCGCAAGTTTCAGCATTTTCCTCCTCGAAGTCGATGAACAACATCGATGCTTTTACCCGGCGTCAAGGAGATGGATGGACCCGATGTGTCCTCTTCCCAAAAAAGGGGACTTCCTACAGGGACATACATAGACTGATTGTAACTATGTGTTGCTCACATAAGCTACTCAATTTTTTCACCTTACATGAACAAGACAAGCCTTTTTAGGGTTATTCAGACCTGTCATGTTGTTTTGCTGTTTGGGGTCGAGGCTGGTGTAATTTCGGTTTTGTTTAGTGTTCCGCCCATGAGCCAAGCGATCTTCTGAGCTCTCAATTTACTGAGCTCCTGGCTTTGATCGCTTCTTTGGGAAGATGTGACAATATGTGTTCAGAGGAGAAGGGCAGAATCGGAGGCCAGCCTTTTAAAGCGGAATGAACTGGTGTGGACTTCAACCAATTGCCAAGAAGGAAACGTTAAGACGCCTTTCAGGGCAATTCCTTTAGAAGAGGTTGGTTTTTTGAGGAAACAACCCAAATGGGGCGAATTCCTTTGGTTTCCCTTAACCAACCCCAAGCAAAAAACACACCCGGAATATTTGCATGAGCTTGTCTCTTTGAACACTGAATGTGGGAAAGCCCACCTTGAGGCAGCCAGGAGCGATTTTACCAAATGTTGACTCTTGGAACAGCATCCCTTGGTTCATGTGGTGATTGAAAGCTAGCAAAGGGTAGCCACAGCAGTCAATAATGACTATCAGATCAGTCCATAATAGGGTCCATTAAAGACAATTTATGGCATATCTTTCTCATGCCCGCCTTGCTACGACTCTTACCTTGTTTGGGTGGAAGCCAACACATTTCTGAGGGACACGACTTATGTTAGGGGACTTTGTCATGCAAATAAGGCCCATCCATTTAAGTTTCTTGAAGTCTGTCGCGGTTCGGATCAGGGGCAAGATGTGAGGGGGCATGGGGGTGAGGGGGATGACTGAGAAATAGTTTTTCGGAGTAATTTTAACATCCGGGAGTAACTGTTTGGTTCATTCAGTTTCTTGTGCTCCGGCCACGTTGTCCTTTGTCCTCCCGCTTGTGGATTATTTTTCCGCAGGACCCGAATGCCTCGGTCCTGCCCGGCTGCAAGGCAAGTGAAGCATGGGCAACGTTGGGGTTTGGTTGGTTTAGCCGAGTCGGGGTTTCCCCAGAAAGAGAAAGGTGTTGGTGTTTTCCGAGTAGGACCCTCACTGAACCGGGAAGGTGGAAGTTAGCCCTAGTCCATTTCAGCTGTGCCTCGGGATATTCCAGCTCACAGGCAGCTTGAAGTGTCCTTGTTTCCGTTTTTTCTTCGTTGACGGGCGCTGACGTGGAACACAAAGGTTCCAAGGCCAGACATGCCCCAAAGGGAATTGACCGTGTGATTCATTTGGGCCAGGGAATTCGCAAGTGCCAGAAGGGATCTGGTTTGCGACCAATTTCACTTGTGATGCTGGTTCCTTATTTGGAGAGTTCATTTTTCTGGTGTATGAGCTATGCCACATTGTCAGCGGCACCCTGTTTCGTTGTTGATTTGGCAGGTGCCCCACAAAACATGGTCACTCCCAAAAAGTGGTGTTTATCTCCAGTAGGTTTACCGGGCAGCTGGGCTTAGTTTTTTTGCCCAGAACTTCGAACAGCTTTTTTGAGGAAAGCATGGACACCTGAACACGGATGTGAAGTGGATTAGACTCAGGGAAAGACTTTGAGCTTGGTAGGGTTGGTTAAGTTGTTTACGTACTAGTCGTGTATAATACAATATACATATGTACATTTATATATACACATACACAAACATATGTGTTGATACACACGTACATATGCTCATGCATGCACACACGGTGATTGTGTTTCGTGTGGACACCCGTAAATAGAAAGCGTGCTGTGAGGTATATATGCGTATATATCTATATGGCCCCCCCAAAGAACTACCTTTGTTGCTCTGCCTCAAAAAGAGAGCAACACCGTGTTTTGTTTTTGTGTTTGTCATAAGAATGACGTTCAGAGCAACACGGAATCCGTTGTGGATTTGCATTATGCGAACTGTGAAATATCAGCAACCGCCGACAGTTTTCGCAACTATCTAGTAATTGTGTGCAACAAACGCTCTGTTTTTAGCAAATTGTGTAGTTTAAGTGGAGACAATGCATAACAAATCAAGCAAGATCATCTAAACGGCCCAACAACCAAAAAGCAAAAGACCAGAACCCTGAGGAACATTTGGATTAGCTTTTTTGGGGTTTTGCCTGCGTTGTTTTGTTTTTGAGTAAACAAAAAGGCAATGTTTTTGTTTCTAAGTCATATTTGCCGGAAAACCAAAAAGCCTCGAGAAACCAAAAAAACGAAACTCTGAGGCAAAGTGTTGGTTTGGCCACAGGTTGTTTTTTTAGTTTTCTCGTTTTTGTATCTGTTGGTTTTCCCTGAGTTTTTGGTTATTTGAGTAAGAACCAAAAACAAAGAACCAAAAACAACCGTTGCGTTTTTGGTTTCCTGGTGTTTTGCTGTTGTTCATAGTTTCCTTCAGATATGACTAAAACCAAAAAGAACCGTTTATTTTAGCTTTCACTCAAACAACAACTTAGGGGACAAGAAAAGAAACAAAACTGAACCAGATAAGACAAACTAGACACAATTTTTGGCAAAACCACAACTTTTTGTCAGAGTTGTTTTTTGTTTTTGTTGGTTTTCTCGAGTGTCTTTGGTTTTCCATCAAATATGACTAAAAATCAAATCCCACTCAACAAGTACAAATTAAAACAAACGCGAAAAACGCAAAAACACAACTTTTGGCAAAACCAATACTTTTCCTTAGTTTGGTGTTTTGACCTTTTAGTTTTCTCGTGGAAGTGTTGGTTTGTTGTTGCGCTTCCTCCTTGGTTTCTTCTTTCGTTAGCTTATCCCTGTTTCTGGCAGGTTGGGAACTGCCATGGTTGAACCATTTTGGAGCCGCTGTGAAGGGGTGTGACAAGTGAACCAGCTTTTCGATTTCGATGCAACACTAGAATTCAACACTTGGCTTTCACGTCTTGACCCAAGCTGTTGCAATTCAACAGGGATTTGATAAGTCCCCACACAGGTGATTTAGCTTTTTGGCTACGCAACCTACTACATAGGGGGTGAGCATATATCTATACATATAAATATATTTGTATACACATGGAAAGGTGTTTGTGCATACGCATGTTGTTGTTTGGTGCACACATACATGTGTATGTGCACATATATATATGTACATATTTGCAATAGTACAAGCATACAAGCACACAGACCCATAGACAGACACACACACACACACACACACCCGCTCCCGCACGCACACGCACACACAGCCGCACATGCACCTGCACACCCGCACACGCGCACACGCCCAAACGCGCACACGCATACGCGCATGCACGCACACACACACACACACACAGACACACACACACACACACACACACACACACACACACACACACACACACACACACACACACACACACACACACGCACACGCACACGCACACGCACACGCACACGCACACGCACACGCACACGCACACGCACACACGCACACGCACACGCACACGCACACGCACGCACACGCACACGCACACGCACACGCACACGCACACGCACACGCACACGCACACGCACACGCACACGCACACACGCACACGCACACGCACACGCACATGCACACCCGCACACACCCGCACGCACCCGCACACCCGTACACGCGCACACGCGTACACGCGCACGCGCACGCGTGTGTGTATGAGTGTGTGCATGTGTGTGTGTGTGAGTGAGTGAGTGTGTGCGCGTGTGCGTGTGCGTGTGCGTGTGCGTGTGCGTGTGGGTGTGGGTGTGGGTGTGGGTGTGGGTGTGGGTGTTTGTGTGTGTGTGTGCGTGTGCGTGTGTTTGTGCGCGTGTGCGTGTGCGTGTGCGCGTGCGTGTGCATTTGCGTGCGAGTGTGTGTGCGGTTGTGTGCGTTTGTGTGCTTGTGTGTGTGTGTGTGCGTGTTTGTGTGCGCGAGTGTTTGTGTGTGCGCGCGGGCGTGGGCGCGTGTGCGCATGCGCGGACGCGCACACGCGCACCCACGCACACAAACGCGCGCACGCATTCACGCGCGCGCTCTTTTCTGCAAGCATACATGGAGAAGCGCACATACATACATGTCATGCCAGGCCACGCCATGCGATGCCATGCCATGCCATCGCACGCACGCACGCGCACGCGCGCGCTGGTGCACGCGCACGCGCACGCTCGTGCACGCACACGCTCGTGCACGCACACACTCGCGCTCGCGTCCACGCAAGCAGAGACAGACAGACAGACAAGCAGACAGACAGAGAGACAGACGGACTTACATACATGCATTGCACGCTTACATGCTTACATGCGTACATACGTACATATTTAATTTACAACACATACACACAGACACGGGCAGACCGCAGGCAGACAGATCGACACACACAAAACATACTCACATGCACGCATGCATGTATAATTCTAGATATGTGTGTCTACTTAAAATCTCCGGAGGGCCTGGCGGGCATGAGCTTCAAGAGCTTCGTCCACTACTCGCTGCCGAAGTGTGTGGTTGCCAAGAGCGGCTTGCCGCTGTCGCTGGCGTCTTTGAACTTTCCGCAGACACAGCTGGTGGGGACGCTGGTGGATGTCTCCGACGTGCTGCTCAGGGGGAGGACTGGCGGGGGCGTTGGGGCAAGGTTGATTTTTGAACAATCGAGTTGTAGGGCTGGGGGGCTGTTGATTGACCGAGAGTTAACTTGGGGTTGTTTGGGGCATAGGGTCAACTGCTTAAGGATCGGATGCTCGGGTGTTGTTTAGTGCCAACCTCAGAATCCCGTTTTGTTTGAGTTCCCGACAAAAATGGTCCTGGCCCCGAAAAGGGGTCCCGCTTTCTGCAAAGGGAACTTGAGATCTGCCAAGCCAAGAGAAAACCAAAAAGGGTGAGGTTGTCATGTTTCCAGGCTTATTTTCGCCCCGCTTGGCCCAAATGAATCAATTCCCTTTGAAACATTCCCCAGTTCCCAAAATACGCCACTTGGAATCCGCCGATTGTTCCACGTATTTCCCCGGTTCTGGATTTTTTTAGGTTTCCACACCACCCGGTCCAGACTGGCTGGAACTTATTGGAAACGTGGGCCCAGGTAAGTATGCCGCACTTCTCCCCCAAAAGACAGGCAAAACAACAACACATCTTGCAAGTTTTCTTTGTCCACAGTAGGACATGTTACTTCCACTTGCTGCGTTGCAGCTTGGTCTTAGCTTGAAGGGGTATTGCACATGACCCGTGAACTTTAGAGCCTCCGGCTCAGTCCGCCGGCATTGCACCCCCCGCTTCCTGTCCCCTGCATGTCCTTGCACTTCCCTGCGCTTCAGCGTTTGATTCCCCTTCATGTCGCTGCCCCTGCATTTCCCTAGTATTTCCTACGGCTTTTCCCCTTTATGTCTTACAGTATGTGTATCCCCTTCAGTTCCAGTCATTGACTTCCTGCATCTCCCTTCATTCCGCTCATATCTCTTTCGCCATCTTGCATTTCTTTTCGTTTCCATCGCATTTCTTGTTTCTTTCCCATTCATGTCCCTTTCAGTTCGCCTGCCCTTGATTTCCTGTCATTTCCGCTGCCTGTCCCCTGCATGTCCTTGCAATTCTCTGCGCTTCACCGTTTCATGTCCGCTTCATGAAATTCGATTGAATTCCCCCTTCATTTCTCTGTCCTTTCCCCCTTTATTTCTCATGCATTTCCCTTTCATGTCCAGACATTTCCCTCCTACATCTCTCTTCGTCATTTCCGCTTGACAGTGGTGCAGTTCCCTTCGTTTCCCCTTCATTTCTTGTTCCTTTCCCCTTCATTTCTGGCTCCTGTCCCCTTCATTTACCTTCCCGTTTGTTTCCTGTCATTTCCCCGCTTCCCGTCCCCCATGTCCTTGCATTTTCGATACGAAAATGCATGTCATCGTCATCTCCCCTCTTTCATGTCACCTTTACTTTCCGTGCATTTCCTTTGCATTTCCCCTTCATTTCCCTTGTTCGTCGAAAAGAACGGTGTTTTTCAGCCTGCAGGAGGCCGAGAATACCGAAAAAACACGGTAATTAGTGTTCAACGTTTTTGTGAGAAACACTGTGTTTTTTGCCGCTTTCGGCAAGAGGAGGCAGAAGGCCCGAGCCGGCAGAGAGCCGGCAGGGAGATTCGAGCCTCAGACCCGTGTTTTGCCACACCATCTCCCGGAAGATTTCTTTTAGTGGAACGTCATCAGATTGATGGATTTATGACATATATGCATTCGTCTGTTTTGGGCAAACCACTGTTGGTTGGATTGAAAGGTAAGCCACGAGAAAACTAACATGTTAGGGGTCCCCCAATGTTGAGACCACAGGTGTTCTTTTTGTTTTTTGGATAGAAGACATGTGGCCCTGGTCATCCCGCGAGTCCGACTTTCCAGGGATCACGGCCCCCGCCAAAAAAAGAAAAGAAGCTTGCAGGAACCGGATCCGCCTGCCGAGCGGACAGGTTTGGCGCTGCTGCACGGCCAAGGGGGGCAAGCACTCCTTCCTGGTGGAGCAGAAGGCCGGGGAGAGGGTTGGGCGGTTGGGGGGGGGGGAGAGTGGCAATTCAAAGTATTGACGTCGATGTGGAAGCGTTTTTTTTGTTTTTAGGGGACACCTTAAATGGCTTGGGTGGTCCTTGAAATCCAACCAACCCCACAAAAAACAAAAACAACAAATACCTCTGAGTTCAAGTTCGCAGGTTACAGCAGCTATCGCGCCCACATGCGACCACTAACATGGAACCTGACTGAAGGTTTCTGGATGTAATTATCTTTTTGCAGGGACCTTCTGGTGGCTTTCATGTCAGTGGCAGACGTATACCGGAATACCCTTGTTTCAGTTCCCAATGAAGGAAATGATGACTTTACAGACCCAAAACACAGAGTATCAACAAACAATTCTTCAAGTCAATAAGTCTGCAAAATGAAAACTCAGAGCTCTGCCATGAACTCCTTACGAGGGGATTCCTGATATGAGTCAAAGGGGTATTTGCAAAATGATGGTGCTCCTTTCGCTTACAAAATGGGTACCTGAATCGAAAACACACACACACAGCAATTCGCACAGCCATGTTGATTTTTGCTTCGCAGCTTCGCGCTTAGGGGAACATCATGGACGACACACCCTTCGAGGCACTGCAGAATCACTTCGGCGTGTTCTCCAACAACAAGTGCGGAGGTCCCACATCCGGGCAGGGGGGATTTGTCAGGAATATTCTGGAACATGCTTTCACCTTGCAGAGTAACAAGGGTGTGTGTGTGTGTGTGAGCCGCAACACTGAATGACTTCTTCTTTTGTACGTGGGACATCCCCCCTATTACTCAGCCAGGGGTTGATTGAATCCTGGGTTGCCATTGGTTTGGCTAAATTTCTTCTGAGTTTCCCGTGTTCAAATTTGTGTCCTGGGAGGTCTGATGGGCTACGGGTACCACAGCTGGAACAAGTGGCCCGGGAACCGCTGCCTCGTGCTGTCCTCAGACGTCCCGCTGGAGGCCCAAAACCTCTTGGGCTGGACCAAAACGGCGGAGCTCACCACTCAGCAGCCCCTCGCCTTGGATGGATTTGTCTTGTAGGGAACCCTCACATGGGCGGCGTTCCTTGTATTCCCCTTGAAGCCAACCCCGAAAAGGCCCTGTTCCTGGGGAAAACGTCTGGCGCACCCAAATCTGAAGGCACAATTTGACTGCCTTTTTTGGACTCTTCAAACCCACAATGCAGGATGTGCTAGCACGTGCTTGCACGTCCTGGATTGAAGATTGAAGATCCATGATCTCAGAAAACTTGTCTGGAAATGTCCAACCCATACTTGGACAAAGTAATATGTGCTAGCGCGTGCTAGCACACCCTGGATTGCACTAAGTGCAGATGCTAGAACTTGAGTCTAAAAAGGGAATGCATGTTTAGAGCATCGTTTTTAGAAGCTGGAAAACGCATTCTACATGCATTATTTCAAACCCGTTGTTTTTTGAAAAACAACCTGAGTACTTCAGGGGGGTGCCATATTCATATGTCTGTCGCATACACGCTTGCTATTTACTGGTGTCCACACGAAGCACAATCACCATGTGTTTGTGCGTGTTTCTGTTTGTGTTTGTGTGATTGTATGTGTGTGTGTGTGTTTGTGTGCTTGTTTGCGTGCTTGTGTTTTCGTTGCGTGTGTGTGTGTGTGTGCGCGCGCGTTTGTGTGTATTAGTGTGTGTGTGTGTGTGTGCGTTTGTTGTATTTGGGTCTATTTGTGTGTATTTGTGTGTATTTGTGTGTATTTGTGTGTATTTGTGTGTATTTGTGTGTATTTGTGTGTATTTGTGTGTAATTGTGTGTATTTGTGTGTAATTGTGTGTATTTGTGTGTATTTGTGTGTATTTGTGTGTATTTGTGTGTATTTGTGTGTATTTGTGTGTATTTGTGTGTATGTGTGTCTATTTGTGTCTATTTGTGTGTATTTGTGTGTATGTGTGTCTATTTGTGTCTATTTGTGTGTATTTGTGTCTATTTGTGTGTATTTGTGTGTATGTGTGTGTATTTGTGTGTATTTGTGTGTATTTGTGTGTATGTGTGTGTGTGTTTGTGCGTATTTGTGTGTATTTGCGTGTTTGTGTTTTGTTTGCTGGAATGGCTGCTTGTTTGTTTGTTTGTTTGTTTGTTTGTTTGTTTGTTTGTTTGTTTGTTTGTTTGTTTGTTTGTTTGTGTGTTTGTGGATTTGGTTGGTTGGGTTTGTTTGGTGTGTTTGTTTGGTTGCTTGCTTGCTTGCCTGCTTGCTGGCTTGCTTGTGTGTTTGGTGTGTTCAGTGTTTTACGTATTTGCCTTTGTTTATTGGGGCTGAAACATACAGCTTGCGTTGCCAAACTGCCAAAGGGTTGGGAAGTGTGAAGTGTGGCCTGAGGGGCAGCTTAAAGAGGAAACAAAGATTGGGGCACGCCGTCCCACCCCACCCACCCTTGAAATGGCCAGGTGCATGGAGGAGCCATTCGGAAACACATGCATTGCCGGCAATATTTCACTTGAACCACCCAAAACCGGTGCCCACCAGCCTGCCAAACCGACAGGGGCCCACCCAAGACTGATTTCCTTTTACTATTTTTGTTTGCTGCTGACCCACATGGATCCTAAAACAGGTACAAGGCCGCTAAGCATGACATTGCTAAACTTCGGGACGCTGTGTAAAAATCAGGGCCGCAGCGGGTCCCACAAAAGCTGCTTGTTTGCTCGCTTGGTTTTAAGCTTCAGG